CCCTAGTCTTCCTTATTCAGTGGCCAACTTTCACCTGCATGATTTCAGTGAAAATAGCACAGCTTTGTTGGGCTCACCTTAGTCTGCCCACGACCCCTTGCTCTGCGACACTTTCCAGGGGTCTGGAAATGTGTCCTCCCACAGCTTGGCAGCAGCTTCCACGAGCACTCCGTGTGGCTACAGCATGGCGAAATCCTTGACAACTTTAATCTTTGCGGCATTTATCATAATGTTAATTATTGGCCCAGGTGTGAGGTTTGAGTCTTTTTTCCCCCCTTAGTTTCTGTGTTTTCTTTACATTGAGTTGCCATCCACACTGGAGGCTGCAATCCTTGATCTTCAACAGCAAGAGCTTCAAGTCCTCCTCACCTTCAGCAAGCACGGTTGTGTCATCTCCATAACAAAGGTTGTTAATAAGCCTTCCTCCAATCCTGATACCATAATTTTAAAAATCATTTTATTGGGAGCTCTTACAGATAAAAGTCGATAAATCAATTGTATCAAGCAAACTTGTACATATGTTACCATCATCATTTTCAAAGCATTGTCTTTCTACTTGAGCCCTTTGATATCAGCTCTTTTTTCCTACCCTCCCACGCTCATGAACCCTTCATAAATTTATATATATTCATATCTTACACCGACTGCTGTATCCCTTCACCCACATTTCTGTTATTCGATCCCCTTGAGGGGGTTATACATCCATCCATCGCTATAATTTCCCTTCTCCCCTCCCCACATCTCCCCGTACCCTTATAGTATCGTTACTCAGTGGTTTACCTGTCTTGGAATCTGTATGTCAAAAGCACCTATCTGTACCAATGTACATATTCTGGTCCAGCGGGATTTGTGAGGTAAAACTAGGGTCATGACAGTGGGGGGAAGGAAGCATTAAAGACCTAGAGTATTTGCAGATACTACATTCTTCTTGATCTCACCCAGCTTCTCAGATGACTTGCTCAGCATACAGACTGAATATGATTGGTGAGAGGATACACCCCTGATGCACACCTTTCCTGATTTGAAACTGTGCAGCATCTCCTGGTTTTGCTCACACAGCTGCCTCTTTATCCATTTCCAAGGTTCCTTTTGAGCACAATGCAGTGTTGTGGAATTCCCATTCTTCTCAAGGCTATCCATAGTTTGTTATGGTGCTCAGTCAAACGCCTTGGCACAGTCTATAAAACACAAGTAAACATTGTTCTGGTATTCTCTGCTCTCAGCTGAGCTCCATCTCACGTCAGCAGGGATGTCCCTTGTTCCATGTCCTCTTCTCAATCCAGCCTGACCCGCTTGCAGCTGACTGACAATGTACTACTGAAATCCTTCTTGGATGATCTTCAGCACAATTTTACTTGCATGTGTTATCAGTGCTAGTCTACAATTTGAGCATTCTGTTGGGTGGCCTTTCTTTGGAATGGATACAAATATGGATCTCACCCCGTCAATTGGACAAGTAACCGTCTTCCAAATTTCTTGGCATAGATGAATTAGTGCTTCCAGTGCTTCATCAATCTATTGAAACATTCCATCGATATTCCATCAAGTTCTGAAGCCTGGTTTTTGACTAATTGCTTTCAGTGCAGCTTGGACTTCTTCCTTCAGTACTATTATTGTTTCTTGGTCATATCCGACCTTGTGAAATGGTTGAACTGGCCGACTGGTTCTTTTTGGTACAGTGACTGTATTCTTTCCATCTTCTTTTGATGCTGCCTGCATTGTTCAGCATTTTGCCCTTAGAATCATCCCATATTGCAACTAGAGGCTTGAGTTTTTTTTCTTTCCGTTTCAGATGTGCTGAGTGTGTTCTTCCTTTTTGGTTTTCTAACTCTAGGTCTTTGCACACTTCATTTTATAGTACTTACTATGTCTTCTCCAGCTGCCCTTTGAAGTTTTCTGTTCAGCTGTTTGACTTCATCCTTTCTTCGTGTCTTAGCTACTCTACAATTAGAGTAAATTTCGGAGTCCCTTCTGACACTATGATCTCTTCTTCCTTTTCAATGGCCTTTTGCTTTCTTTGTGAAGGATGTTCTCGATGCCCTCCCACGGCTCATCGGGTCGTCTGTCATTAGCGTTCATGCAGCAGATCTGTCCTTGAGATGTTCTCAGCATTTGGGTGGGATAAACTCAAGGTCATCTTTTGGCTCTCATGGACTTGCTTTAATTTTCTTCACCTTCAACCTGAACGCACACATATTTCATGGGTGGTCTGTTCCACAGTCAGCCTCTGGTTTTGTGTTAGCTGCCAACATTGAGCTTCTTCGTCTCTTCCCACAGTTGTAGTCAATTCGATTTCTGGAGAATTCCATGTGCTGTTGATAAAAGGTATTTGCGATGAAGTCTTCGTAGGTCTTGCTAAATTCTATCATTCGATCTCCAGCTTCATTTCTGTCACCAAGGCCACATTTCCCTACTACTATTCCTTCTTCGTTGTTTCCAACTTTTGTATTCCAATCACCAATAATTATCAGTGTGTCTTGATTGCATGTTTGGTCAATTTCAGACTGAAGACATTGGTAGAATACTTGTTCCTTATCACTAGTTTTGGTAGTTGGTGCAAATTTGAATAACAGTTGTATTGATTGAATTTCCTTGTATTGGGATATATATAATCCTATCACAGGGAGCACTGTACTTCAAAATCGATCTTAAGATGCCTTTTCTATGCCTTTCTATGTTTTTCCCAGCATAGTAAACTATATGATTCTCTGATTCAAAATGGCCCAAACTAGTCAGCTCACTAATGGGTGCTGCCCTGGTGGTACAATGGTTACGCACTGGGCTGCTAACCGCAAGCTCAGCAGTTTGAAACCACCAGGTGCTCCCAGGGAGACGGTGAGGCTTTCCACCCACAGCTGTGGGAACCCCTGGGGAACAATGGTCCCCTGCCTGCGGGGTTGCTCTGGGTTGGAACCAGCTTGATGGCAGGGAGTTTCTCTGGCGCTGGCCCTGCCCACAGGCTCAGCAGGGCCAATGTCTGCCACAGGCCTGGGAGCAGAGGGGAGGGGCCGAGGGGCTCTCAGGTTAAGCTGCAGGTTTGGCCTGCACTCTTAGCCATAATGGGAGGGGGGTGGGTTCAATTTGTGACTTGAAAAGAATCAGTCAGAGCATGAATATTTTCATGAGTCATCAGTTTTGGGGAAATTCCATTCTTTCTTCATTAGGGCTTTTTGTTTTTCACCCAGTGAAGAAGTCAGCATTATCATCCTTACGTTTTTAATAAGGTTTTAATTTAAGGATTCCCAAGGAAACCAGATTTTTTTAAGCGTAGGGTGGGGAACACTGTTGCTCCCTCCCCCTGCTTCACCAGCCCCATGGATGATCCATTCGTCCCATCTGGCTGAGGGGGCTGGGCACACACTGGGCCTCTGATGGGGACTGGAACCTCCGTGGCCAAGCCACAGAGATGCAGGTCCTGGTTTACCCCCGAGAAGCCATCATGGTGCCATACAGCCAGGACCTAGCACTGGTTTCTGGCTCCTGCCTCTGCCCCCAGGCAGGCTGCACCTTTCAGCCAGAAGCACCCAGCCCGCCGCCACCTGGGCAGGGAGCGCCACCTCCTTCCCATGGGCTTCCCAAGGGGTCCTGGGGTGGCAGTTGCAGGTTTGGAGGGAGGGGATCTCAGGGAGACACTCAGCCCCTCTGCCTGAGGGCTGGGCCCCCAGCCACAGCCATGCATATGATGGGGTGCCCCCTGCGCCTCACAGGGAGCCTCCAATGCCCCCTGGCCTGAGTGACTCTCCACGTGGACTGCCTGGAAACACGGTCTGAAGAGTGTGTGGCCAAGGCCACAGCCAAGGCACATTTTGTTCTCAGTGTGGTAGGACCTTGTTCAGTTCAGTTAGGGTCTTGAGTTCAGGAAACATTGGCTGGTTCGCAGAAAGCCAGTGGAGAAGGCCTGCGAGCAGTGAGTGACACTCGTACACAGGCTCCGCCTTTCTTGTCGGGTGGATCTCTGGCTTCAGCAGGCCAACCAGGCTCCTGACAGCGTGCCTCCCGGGAGTGCCCCAATGGAAAAGGCGGCAGATCCCAAGAGTAACTCCTGGGGGAAGGGTGTCCCGTGGCATGGCAGTTCTGCTGTCCCAGGTCTGTGGACTCCGTCCCACCACCACCACCCCTCCTCATCCTTCCTCTGTCAGGCTGAAGGTGGCATAAACGCAGCCATGTGCACAGGCACCTCCAGCCAGCTCCAGCCCATGCCCACCTGCTCCGGGCCACACGATGCAGCAGCACATGCCCTGCCTCTCCACAGCCATCCCCAAGGCTGCTGACACCCAGCAGTCCCCTCCCCCATGGGAGCAGGGTGACCAGGGCTGAGCCACCCTGTGAAGGACAAGCTCAGGGATGAGCAGGGCTGCCAGGGTCACTGAGGTCCGGCAGACCGAAAGGAACCGTGTGGGGAATAAGGGGCAGCAGGAGCCAGAGGTTGGACTCATGAAAGGGGCACACCCAGCTGGAAGTCCAAAATAGGCAGTTCAACACCACCGCCCCCCCCCCCTCCTGCCACCCATCCCTCCTCAGCAGACAGACCTGGCAACCTGCTACAGAAAGACCACAGCCCTGAGTGCTTCTCGGCAGCCCTACTCTGCACACAGGGAGTTGCTCACCAGGAGCCGACTAGACTTAATGGACGGTGCCAAGTGGTGGTCTCGTGGCTCAGGGCGTTTCCACTCTCATCCAGCACTCTGGGCAAGCCTTGGTCTATTGACCAGCAGTGCAAACCCAGCGGCCACTCCTCAGGAGAAGGACCCAACTGCCTGCTCCCTTAGAGGTGCCCTCTTGCGGGCTAGCTGTGCACGTGAATAGCGCTGGGGCAGTGGGTTTGGTCCGGGCTGCAGGAACAAGGGCACCCTGGGGCATGTGGGAAGGAGGGCCAGCTTCTCCTGGGTCACGGCTCCCAGCTGCTGAAGCCTGGGGGGCCTCAGGCAGGGTGCGGTGCACCCACCACGGGCAGCAGCTGGGAGGCCGGGGCTCACCTGTGTCCTGTGCTCTCTCCACAGCAGCTGACACTCGTGGCCGAGAACCTGAAGGAGGAAGCCAGCGACCGTGGGAAAGAGCAGGCGCCCTGAGCCCACTGCCTGTCCATCCAAAGCCTCAGCCTGCTCCAGCTGCCCCTCGTGCTCCGGCCACAAGGGGCAGGGGGCACCGTGACTCAGACCCACCACTCGAGGGCCACCCAGTCCACAGCTTCCCCACCCTCCACCCACCCCTCCTACTCCCCCACCCTCCGACTGCCCAGGCCACACTGCCCCTGGATCCCCTCTCCACGTTGCCCCTCAATGGGGCCACTTGCTGCCCGCGCCAAGAACCAGGCCAGCGGAGCGGCTGGGGCAGTGGGCCATGGGTGACCTGGGGCTGCCCTCACACCCTCTCCTGGCTCACCTGGCAGTGTGCTCACAGCTGCTTCATCAGCGAACACCAGTAACCTCGCGATTAAAGGCAACGTGCCCCTCTGATCCCGCTGCCCTCTCTGCTCTGAACCAGCCTGGGGTCTGGTGGCAAGCGGGGAGGACACAGAGAAGCCACCTGCAAAGCCTGCCCAGGCTGATCGGGAGGGTGTGCTGCTGGGACCAGCCCCAGAGGGGCCACCATAGAGCCAGCAGGCAGCCTAACCAGGTGCCACCTGAGCTGTGCCCACGGGCGCGGCCCTGCAGGCACATGCCTGCTACTCTGATTGTGCGCTCCCTGTCTCCAGCCCCCTGACAACCTGAGGCTCCGATGGTGCGACCCTCGGGCCCCAACATCCCCGGGCCAGTGAGCAGGACAGGCCCCTGGGGGTGGGGGTAGCTGCAGATGCCCCACTCAGAGGGCCGTGGGGACAGGAAGGGCCGCTGCTGCCCCATCCATCGTCAGCACCTCAGCTCCCTCCCTCGCAGCCGGCCAGCCGGCCCAGCTGCACATGTTCTGTACATCCTCGCTGCCGGTCTCCCCTGCCACCATGCCGTGGTTTGCGTGGGCCCGTGGGCCCTGGGGATGGCAGGGCGGTGCTCTCTGCTGTCCCTCAGTCCCAGCGTGTCCACATGCACACATCAATACACACATGCTCATGCCCACGCACGCAGGCCCCTCCGCAGCGGGGCTGGTGTTGCCCTGAGCTGCCTAGATAGAGGTGCTCCGGGCAGTCACCCCCTTGCAGTGGAGTGTGGGCCTGATGCTCTCCAGGACGTGCTGGCCATGTCAGCTCCCCACCCCCGTGTGAGCCGGTGCCCTGAGCCCTGCAAGGTCTTCATCCCACCCCAGCCTGGAGCTGTCTGCTTACGACCCGGTGGGTGTTGGGGGTGGGGGATCCTCAGCCCTCAGGGACCCGTGGGCTGTGAGGCAGTGGGTAGGGTGCCCTGAATTGGAGCGGTCAGGGTCCCCCCCCAGGCCCACCCCCCAGTGAGGCCGGCGCCGACCCTGGCTCCTCTGCGGCCCTTCCCAGGATCCCCCGTCGGCCTCCCCTCCGGGTCTCCTCTGGCAGCAACATGCTCTGCCAAGCCCCGCCCATCACTGCCAGGGCACGGGGGTGGGGGGGCCGGCGGGCACCCCGACACAGACCCCGCCTCCGCTTCCTCCCCGGGCCACACTGCTTGTGCGCATCTGTGGGTGATGGGGGGAATGAGCCAGGAGGTTGTCTCCTCGGGAGGAAGGGGGACAGAGCTGGGGGGCACAGAAACCTGCTCAGCTCACAGCCGTCAGCCAGGCGAAGACCTTCACGCCTTCTATGGTGTGTGTGCCCCATGGAGTCATTCCTTCTGCCAACCCCGTGGCTCCGCCCTCCCCATGCCTTCCCTCTTAATGGACAGCCAAGGTGTCCAGGGCCAAACTTGGGTTCCTTTGCCGCCGCCAGCATCCTGCAAGTGGGAGCAGACAGCGTGCACCCCTCTGACTGGCCGCACCCCACATCACGCTCCCCCGGGTCCTCGCTGACCGGGAGCCCACCCGAGCTCCCTTTCAGGGTGCGGTGGGGTGGGGTGGAGTGTAGGAGCCACGCTGCGCCATCTCCAAGTTTTGTCGGCTCTGCTCACTGAGGAAGACACGGAGGCTGCCGCCGCCTCAACCCCCCCCTCCACCCCCCCACCCCGAACACAGCCCCATGGGCGTGGCGCACCCCTCCAGCAAGAACCCCACCCCCACCACCCCACTGTGCTCAACCTGCCCTGTAGCCTCTGAGACTCTTCCTGGCCGCAGACCCATCACCAGCGCTGTGCCCTGCCGGCCCGGGAGCAGAGGGCTCCTTGGGAAGATGCCCCCGAGCACCCACCCTCAAGAGGATGTTCTTACTAGGGTTACCCCATTTCCAGATGCCCCTAAGGGCTCTCGCTGGGTTTAAACACACTTCGGAGTAGTCCAGCCCACCTGCCCCAACCGATAAGGGGTCAGAGGCCCCACCTGCCATCACCAGATAGGGGGCATCCACACAGCAGCCTCTGTGGTGGGTCAGAAAAGGGATGTAAATGGCACAGAGCTGGTCCCAGGGCAGCTGTGCCCCGATAGCTGGCCAGAGACCCGATCTGAGAAGGCTGCAGCGACACGGGTCCAAGACCCCCTTCCTCAGAGGACTAGCGTGAGCAGGGAAGAACCAGTGGCCTACAGAAGCCCCTCGCTGCTGCTGTGGGTGGGGGCGGGGGTGGAGCTGTGCCCGGCAGGCCGTGGGAAAGGAACCTTGGCTAACAGCAGTGGCCCCGGGCCCCGAGGGAGTGTGTGCTGGGCCTGCCGGGAAGGCTCCCAGTGGGCGACGTGCTCAGCGGCAGATGCACGCCTGGCTGGGGA